GCAGGGTTGGTTTTTGGTGAGGCCTTTCTTCCTGACTTGTAGATAACGGCCCTCTCTCTGTGTCCTCATATAAACTTTTTTTCTGTGTGTACATGCCTCTGGAGCCTCTTCCTCTTCTTATCAGGGCACTAGCCCTATTGGTTTAGGGCCCCACCCTTATAACCTCATTTAACATTAATTACCTCCTTAAAGGCCCTCTCTCCAAATACAGTCCCTTTGGAAGATAGGGCTTCAACATATGAATTTTGGGGGGATACAATGTAGTCTATAACATGGCCCAACAAAGCTGCTCTAACTCCCACCATAATATCCACACTCCAGTCAGAAAGTGGAGAAGAAAAAAGGGGAGGGCACAATTCCTCCCTTTAAGGGCATAGCAAGAAATTTACACATATCACTTCCACTCAAAGTCCATTGGCCAAATCCTAGTCATAGGGTCACACCTAACTGCAAAGCAGTCTGGGATAGTCTTTAGTGGAACTTCCATATGCCTAGTTTAATTTCTATTCAGAAGGGGTGAACAGATGATAGAAGACAACCAGCAGTGTCAGCCACAGTTGTAAATATTCTAGTGTCTGGCATAATCATATTGGTATCTCCGTTTTGTACCTTCTCTCTCCACTTCCCTTTTTTTACCCTCTGTTTGCTCTCCAGAGAATTGGTTCCACTCAGTGCAACCTAGAAGGAGCATGGTGGGTGCAACCTTACAGCTGAAGGCTTTTTTATGGCATTCATAGGAGACTTAGACATATTATTATACCAAAAGACCTCTTACCCTTTGCGGATGAGGAGATAAAACATGGGAGGCAATGACGCAACTAACCATGTGAGGGTAATTAGGGAAGCCAAAGCAGAGAGCTAAGATGGAAACATTAGAGCACTTTGTCTGCTGGTAGGAGTGATGACCCTTGTCCTATTTTTAAATATCTCCAAGAGTAGACCTTTTGCAGGAGACAGGACATTTACAGCCAATTGGCTTCCTGTATTATTTCACTCCAAGCAACAACTGGCTCTTGCCTCCTGCATCATGTCTCTTGAAAGTAGAATGTCTCCTTCCATTAGCATTTTTAATCTGATTCCTACAAAATTGTGCAATTTCCTGCCATTTCTCCTGTGGTAATCTAGCCAATTCTGCTTTTGGGGACTCTCCTCTGTGGCTTTAAGGTCTCCCAAAAAACCTTGCATTAGTCTTTCATTCTTCCACGCCTTCATGGGAACACTTTGTTCTGGCATCCATGGAACAGCTTTTGAAAAGTGCAACTTGTTACCTTGGCCCCATTTCAATCAACAAATATTAACTGAGTGCTGTCTTTGTTCCAATGCCATTCTAGATCCTGTAGAATATAGACATAAAAGGCTTTGAGGTCTGGAAAGTACCTTAGATATAACCACTGATTTTCTCAATGAGGAAACTGAGGTCCAAAGAATAAACAACTTGCCCCAGGGTCAAGAGGCTGTTTAGAAGAACAACATGCTGAGTTTTTCTATTTCCTGTTCTCATTAGGGTTTATGCTTTGGTTGGGGAGATGAAAGAAAGTGTATATGGTGCCTTCTCTGAGCCAGCCATCATGTGTTCTGTATGTTATATAAATTGTATTATCTCCCAAAGAACTTAGAAAGAGTACTCGGTGAGAATTCAACTAAAAAAAGAAAAACATGCATAAATTAATTAAATTATGCACAACACTCCCTCTTACTCCAGGGCCTTATTCTGGATGAACTAGTAATCTAAATTCTGGCTATACAAAGCTAAGGACCAGATGCTGGACATCAAGGTGGTGATACCTTGTAGGGACTCTTGGAGAGCACTCAGCCAGACATCTAGGGGTCTGTCTTACTCTTGGCCTTATTTAAGCTGCTACATGCATCTCATTTTATCTTCCCAACAACCTAGTCAAGTAGATATCACTATCCCCATTTTATAGATAAAAACACCCAGGCTTAAAGGGAACATCCCTGGGCACGAGTGTGGCCCCATCGCCAAAAGATTGTGATGGAATTCAAGTTTTATTGAGGCCTCTATCTTCAAAGTGCTACAATAAATCACAGCCCCCTCTTTTTATAGCTTCCCAGTGCAGAATGGCACAAGTGTGTGGGGCAGAGACATTTAAGTGAACAGGGATTTGGCTGTGAAAATGACCTTGATGGTGAGTGCTAGCTCTCACAGCTGGTTTCTCTGTGCAGCACTAAGATCATGCTGCTTCCTGCACAGGAAAAAGATCTTTAGGGATGAAGCAGGATAAGGCCCTTACCCTCCAGAATGGAGCTGGGCCCTTGGGGAGTAAGCGGGGGCTAGAAAAGACTGTGGGGATTCTGTGGAGTGGAAGAGAAAGGTTGACCCGAGAAGGTGCTCCGGGACCAGTGCCCACCTGAGATGGCTCTGCTTGGCCTGAGATAGGATACCAAGGGAAAGGCAACATTTCTACCATCTTCTAGATCCATATGATTGCTTTCTTTATGGAAAATGGGTTTTGCCTTCATAACCTTCCAGATGCTGCAGGCCTAAGAATGGAGTTATATATTTGTGTATATATGCAGAAAAAATGTCTGAAATAATAGTCACAAAAATGTTATTAGTTGTGATCTTTCAGCGGAAGGGTTTGGTAATTTTTATTTTCTTCTTTCAACTTTTTGTATTTGTAAAAATAATGAGCTAGAATTTTTTTAAATCAGAATAAAATGAGATTAAAAAACTTTTTTTTGTTGTCGTCATTTAGGAAACAAACCACCACAAATCTCCACTAGCTTCAAAAATGATTGCTGTGTCAAGGATGTAAAAGTTTCAAAGTGATCCTTTGTGCAAAATAGTATTCCTCCAGCCACAGAAACAATCTGGGAAGAGTTAGAAGAAACTAAGCTATATACCCAGTTTCGAATCTCAGAGTGCAACTGTATTATACCTGTCACAGAGAACAGGCTGTCTGATATCCCATGTCTCCAGGCAGGATCACTTTCAGCCTTTCTGGCTATTTGGTCACTGTCCCGTAGGACAAAGGGGGCTGTTTACAGATCATTATGATTACCCAGGATCTAGTATGAGAAACTCACAAAACAAATAAGGAAACTGAGTGAGGATTTTCTAAATCAAAATCCAAGAAGAAAGACGATGACCACTCCACAGTGAGGACCAGGAAGTAAGTAGACAAGAATCAAAATAGACAAGAATGAAAATACCCCCTGAGTAATGTAGAGTGAGGCTGATTAAATTTTGGCCTGGGGTACTGAGGCAAGCTGGAGATTTCTTTCTTTGGAGGCCTCTTAACAATAAATACATGAACATCTAGCAGTATTTGTTTGTGTGATTAACTTCATTAAGGTAAAGAAATAGACTTCATCAATTTCCTAATCTATGGTTACAGAGAGTTCATATTTACTTTATTCTAAAAGGAAAACAGCAACTGGGGACTTATTTCTTCCTCTCTATCTTGATTTCCAAAGCATGTAGCATTTTAAATTCATCATTTATGTCTAAAGGTTTTAGCTTTCAGTGTTCAAGTTATACAATGGATCAGGGCTGGATTTCTGAAAAGGAGAGCAAGGTGAAGTGAGCAGGGGGTGTGGCTCAGATTCCTTTTCTTTTGGAGAATTGGGTCTCCTTAGAGAAAGATTACTTTCCCTAGACCTGTGCTGTCCCATACAGTAGCCGCCAGCCACATGTGGCTATGCCAATTGGAGTTAATTAAATGAGTTATGGAGTCTCAGGAGAACATGTGGACACAAATAGTGCTTAGCATAGCACCATCTCCTCTTTTCATCTTTCTGGGATGTTAGTGAGTGCTAACACAAAGCATTGGTTACCTCAAGAACATGTGGCAATGAATTTTTCTTTTAAAATTGTCTCTTTTCCTTTCACATGCACGGAAAAGAGTTTAGAAGGATATACACCAAATGACTAACAGTCGGACTAAGAGGGGGACTATCTCTGTACAAAATAAAGAAACCACCACATATATCCACTAGTTTCAAATATGATTTACAAGTGGGATAAGAGGCCAGAGAGCAGAAGCAGAGCAAAAATGGGGGCAGTGTAAGGGGAGAGACAGAGGACTTTCATTGCTTTCTTTATCCAGTTCTGGGTTGTTGAAAATTTTCTCTTTGATGAGGGTGCTTTAACTTTTAATTTGAGAAAATTAATAAAGAGACCTAAAAATAAATAAGCAAAGTAACACATGGATTGAAAATTCTAGCCAATCTCATTTTTTTCTCGAAGAACAAAGATTGTAAAGAATAATAAACAAATGTTTGGGAAGAAATCTTGACCACTTTCACCTGCCATATGTTTGGCCGGGTCCAAAGCAGCTGGCGTGGCATTGTGTACCCATAATGTTTGCGTGACTTTGGTTTGCTTCATATTCTGGGCTCTGCAATTCTAAAATTAGCACGAGACCAGCTTGGAACTTTCCCTCCTTTACCCTCAATGCTGGGCAGAAATGTGAGTTCTTTGCTTTGCTTAGTAAAAAGACTTTGATGGTGAAAAAAAGACAGACAGATAAGTAGGTAGATATCATCTATCTATCGATCTATCATCTATCTATCTATTGCCTATGAAGAATAAAGAAGGAGGTTGCTAGAGAAAGTGAAAAGAGCCTTAGATAGCACAAAGTGTCAAACATGTGAATGAAGAGCTACATGGAAGGAGGGTTGGGTAGGAAGAGCTTTAGTCTGCAGCACAGCTCTGAGAAAGTCTCTGCCAGGCTGATGGGGAGTATTGAGCAATGGCAGCCATTAGAGAAGTCCAGATTGCATAGGAATGGCCAAGTCGCCTCTGCTCCCTACACCACTGCACTCAGTCGTGGGCAGGGAGCAGCCCTGGGGAGCCTGGTGTGAATGCTGTAGTGAATCTTACGGTGGGGCAGCAGGAGGCTGTCAGTCAACAACACTCCCCATAGCGGGTTCTCTTGAGAGAGCTCTGAATGGTGCACTGTATTAGTTTGCTAGGGCTGCTATAACAAATACCACAGCCTGAGTTGCTTAAACAACATACATTTATTTTCTCTCAGTTCTGGAGGCTAGAAGTTCAAGATCAAGGTGCCAGCAGGGTCGGTTTTCTCTAAAGGCCATGGAGGAATGATCTATTGCGGGTTTGCAGGTCTCTCTCCTTGGCTTATAGATGGTTGCCTTCTTCTTGTGTTCCCACATCATCTTTCCTCTGTATGCATCTGTGCCCAAATTTCCTTTTCATAAGGACACTAGTCACATTGGATTAGGGCCCATATAGAATAATGACCTGATTTTAGCTCAGTTACCTCTGTACAGACCCTAGATGAACTGAGGATGAAGACTTCGATATATGAATTTAGGGGGACAGAGTGCAACCCATAATATGAGCCTCTATGGTCACCGCCACCCACCCCTTACAACACACAGCTTCTCTTCACACTGGCTCAGGGAACAGCTCCTCCACATTTCCCATTGGCTTCTCTTCCTGAGGGGAAACTAAGAAGAGGGAAATTAGCAGGATAAACAATTGCCCGTTTGGCTGCAGTGAGTCTCAGAGCAGCAACAGGAAGGTCCTCCTTCCCCTCCATCACTATCCATCCTTAACCACCACCCTCTCTACCTCCCCCTCCCTGCCCCCCCCACCACCCAGCCAACAGTCACCTCAGCAGGTATTGGCAGCTCACCCGAGGGTGCGAAATTTGCCCATACTAACTTACCCTCAGTGAGGTTAGTATAATGGCAGTGTAATCTGAAGCAAAACATGTTTGTTCTCTACCCAAACTGCTTTTAAGACTTTTCCCCCCTTAAATTATATCCTTTCTGGGACTATCAGAGAATGAGGACCCTGTTTTCCAGTGGAGGCATGCAGACATTGAGGCCATTTTGAATTTTTAAACTTTCAAAGCATAGGTGACCATTTCTATGAGAAATAAAATTTTGAAAACTAGTCATGGTAAAAGGGTAGCACAGAATATAAGTTTCCTGGTCCATACTGGGGGGCACTTTCAATTCACACTTCTGATTCTCCCTTATTTCAACAACTACTACTGGGCTTTTGCACAGCCGGGTAAGTTGAAGAGAACTTTTTAAACTAGGGTTCCCCTCACTTACAAAAAGAATTAGCTTTTTCCCTTTCTATTTTTCTTTGAATGAGTCATTTTTAAATGATGAAACTTGTCATTAATAACCCATCCTGTGTTTGTGGCTAAAAGAGTAGAATCAAGCAGACGTCTGAGTTTATTATCTATGGAATTTATGCTCTGGATTCTTCTTTCAGGATTTTTTACTTTTGTTTGAAATACAATTTCAAAACACCAGGTTACATTTAATTAAATTTTTCTGGGGGGCAGAATAATGTAGACTTGTTTGAGTTAGGCTGTTTTCATCTGTAACTAACAGATTATCTCCATTAAAAATGGTCTTAAACAAAAAGGAATTTAATAGTCTCAGAAAACCAGAATTGAAGAGGTAGGCAGGCAAGGCTGGGTTAGATCAGCAGAATGGGAGTATCATTAAGGATAAAGATTCTTTCTACCTCTCCCCCAACTGACTTCTCCTCAGATCTAATTGGCCAATATTGGGTCACATGTGCATGTTCTAGATTCAAGGGATGCAGGGAAGACAATGCATGTCAAGCATCTTCCGGGAAGGAAGAATGGTGAGAGCAGGCAGCCAACATGTCTATCACATAGACGTTGATGTGATCAGAGCCTCTGGAGTCAAAGTGATTAGAATGCTGGCTCCTCTGCTGATTACCACAGGAAATTTAAGCAAGTTACTTAGTTACTCCATTCCTTCAGACTTAATGTTTATTACTGTCATAATTTTTAAAAAAGCTTTCAGTTGGCAGCCTTGTCTATTAAACTTATTTCCAAAAAAGCTCTCAGAGATAGACAAAGTGTCTTTGAGTCCTACGGGAGGAGCCAGCCTCCTCCACGATTCCACCTACTCCTCTCGCACATACTCACCCTTGGTGTTTTCACATCATGTTCCTTGGTCTGTTCTCACCACAGCTTAAGAGAAAGTACTAGATCCACACGGTCCTATATCTCTTCTCAGCTCTGTTTCTCAATCCCCTGGCTTTGAACTAAGGCAAATTCGGGAAGGGAGCATACACAAGCTATTAGGATTTTCCTTTAAAACTTGATAAATTTAGTGGGGTGGAAATTGGCACAAACATTCTGAAGTGCAATTTGACATATCAAGCATTTAAACACATAATTCTCTTAGCCCCGCAGTTCCACTTCTATGAATGTAAGTGACTAATAAAGTTTGTAAAGCATTGGTTGCGTTAACAAAAATTTTGTCAACAACTTAAGTGTTTATTAATACTAAATGTGTTAAATAATTATGGCATTTCCATATTATGAAATTTCCATATTGGAACGTTTTTTAAAACAGGAGGAAGGTCTGTGCATACCGACGTGAAAGGATGCCCACAACATATTTTCACTCATTTTAAATAAGAGTTTAAAAACAAAATATAAATCATTGTTCATCATACTGTACCAATTCTCTATTGCTGCATGACACCATTCCAAAAACTTAAGTGCCTTAAAATAACAATCATTTATTTATTCATGATTCTGTGGTTTGGCAATGTGGGTTGGGCTCAGCTAAGACAACTTGTCTTTGCTATATGTGATGTTTGCTGGACTCTCTCATATATTTGACGCTTAAACAGGTCTCTCCGCCTGGCCCCTCTACCTGTTCTCTCATCCTCAAGGAGGCTAGTCGTGGCTGGTTCACATAGCAGCAGCATTCCAAGAGGGTGACAGCATAAATGGAAAATCTTGCCGCTTTTGCATAGGATCCCCAGAATGTCATTTCTGTCCATTTCTATTGGTGACAGCAAATTGCAAGGCTAGATCAGAATCAAAGAGTGGGGAAATAGACTTCACCTCTTAATGGAAGTTACTGTATCATAACCATCATCCAAAATGCCCCATCCTAATCATCCTCACTTCCTGGGCTTCACGCCTTTGTATCGTCCCCTCCTACACTGAACCTAGGCTGACCTGTGTGACCAGTAATACAATACGAACATGGCAGAAGTGATAGTGTGTGATGTCTGAGGCTAGATTGTAACAGGCATTACACCTTCCACCTTGCTCTTTTGGACAACACCCTATGGGGGAAGTCAGGTGCCATTCCATGAGGAAATTCAAATAGTCTGTAGACAGGCCCAGACAAAGAGGAACCCAGCCTCCTGCCCAGAGCTGGCACCAATATGTCAGCAGTGGGAGTGATCCACGTGGGAAGGCAATCCTTCAGTCCCACTCAAATCTTTTAACGATTGCAGCCCCAGTCAACATCTCACTACAACCTCATAAAAGCCCCCAACCCTCCCTGATCCCAAACCACTTGGTAAAGCCACTCCCTTATTTCTGATCTACAGAGACTGACAGATAGTAAATGATTAGCATTATTTTAAGCCACTAAGTTTTAAAGTGCAACATTAGATAATGAATACAAGATGCAAATAATTGTGACCTCTGTGTGTGTATATATGCACATATACATGGATATATAGATAGACATGATTTATATTATATATATGTATATATAAAATGTATACACATTTTAGGAAAGGAAAAAAACTATTAAAATTGTAATACTCAATATACACTGATAACAAAAGATGAATACAAGTCACATTTGACCTCTGCAATTACAAGAGGTGCTCAAAGTGGTTACCATCAGTGTCCAGACACTTCTGATTACGGTGAACTACTGCTTGAGCAACGTTGAGCAAAGTGTCCACTTGTGTACATTTTTTTGGCACCCCCGGTGTGTGTGTGTGTGTGTGTGTGTGTGTGTGTGTGTGAGATATTGTTGATGTGGGCCACTAAGTGGCAGACAGACTTATACTTTTTACTTGAGGCCTTGTTTTCTTCATACTTGTTTTTTCACTAGGAGTGTTTTACTTCTATAATTTTTTAAGTAAAACATAATTTCTCTTGACATCTCAAAGTACTTGTATGTGCACATGTATATGAGCAACCAGGTCAGGAAGGAGGTACAAAACCATGTGAGAGTTCTTAGAGGCCATCCGGCATGATTGCTCTGGACATTTAAGGTCTAGTTACTGTACACCGTGCCCCCAGAACACCAGCACAGGCGTGGTGTGTGGAGGTGAACACTCCCTGACCAAGTATAGCATAGAGACTACAGTAAGAAGGCAACTACAAGGAGATTTAAGCATTCGTTTTTCTTTTCAACGAAATTTCTCTGAGACGACAATATCCAATCTGGTCACTGAAATGCAATTAGTACATACAGCTGGATCTCGTTTAGAACACTAAGAATCTGTTTGTAAAAACAAACACAAAATGGGGTCCAGCTGTCTGAACCAGTTTAGCGAACTCCACATTTAAAAACAAAATGCTCCTATATGTTTTCCAATTGCTTTCATTGCAATGCAGTTTAAAAATCAACTGACCCAATCAATTAATCAGTGCAATTGACCGGGCCTTTTCAAAATAAGAAATCTAATGCTTTTTTCCCCTGAAAAATAGAGATAAATGTCATAGTATCTGGGGTTTTTTTTCCGAAGTCTGAGATAACTCCATGAGCTTTTTTCCTGAATTGTAAGAAATCTGGAGTGCCCCTCACATTGTTCTTTCCATTCATAATAGTCATTACTCCTGTTTTTTATGTATTAAGTGTTGACAGTATCCTTGGGCTAGAAACAAAACCCTGGAGAATACTATAGTCCTTGTCTATTATTGGGTTGTCGGAAAAGCCATGACACATTTTTGCAATGAAAAACGTAGAAAAAATACATCTTGACTTTTCCGACAGCCCAGTAGATAATAGTTTGTTTCTCTTTTTCGTGACTGTCCCAAATTACAATATTTAGTCTTGTGGCATTTAACAGAGCCCTGGAAAAGGTAGTTTCACCTCAAAGGGAAATAGTCCTAATTTTTAAAAAAGCTCAAAATGAAGAAATACATGCGTAAGATGACATCTTCCTGACTCCTGGGGCATAACTAAATTGCTCAGAATTTCTAATACTTGTAACTTAATAGAAGAGTTTAAATCTATGTGTTCTTCCTATTCTGATGAAAAACTTAGAGATATTGCAAATAAAATTTGATTTTTCTTGATATAACAACCCATTTTATGTATCTGATTGCTTTCAGAGCCATCGCTGCCCCCCAAATTTCTTCCACACAATGGTGTAGAGCACCTTAGGGGTAGAAATATGAAAAAGGATTTCTCCAGAGGTTGCAAACTGAGTTTTTTTGGCAAGCATTTAGGAGGAACAACAGCCACTGCGAGGTAATTGGGATTTATAGAGTGCAGGTTTGAGAGCTGCATATCTGAGCTGTATGCCCAGCTCAAAGACTCACTGTGGTTTTGAGCAAGCCCCCTACACTCTTGTAGGCCTGTTCCCTTAGAAGATATGCTACTTATTTGTGAGCAAAGCTCTACAAAACTACTATATGGATGACAAAAGTATAGAACAGAAATCCTAGATGTCAAGGTATTTCATTGCTGTGCACACTTGATTGAGTTGACTTAAGGGCAAAGCTGCTTAATATAAAATTTCTCTGGGAGTTTGCCTAGGTGTTGTTGGAAAATCTAGGATTTAGGAAAATTTCATTTTAACACTGGTTTTGAAGACAAGGCAAACAACTAACTTACATACTTTCTAATTCCATTGTGAGATTTATTTTTACATGGTTTTATACATAGGTATAAAACAGTTGTTTATGAGAGAACAAATTAAAATATAACACAAATTACTGGAGTTCAGGGGAAGAGGGTGTCCCTTCTATAATAAATGAGGAAAGAAATAGAGAAATAAGTATCTGGATACTATAAGGAACTGGATTGAGGAGGATGCAGAGAGTTTATGCTGCCTTCCTTGAACTATGAAACCCACAAGAGCCTGAGTCCTCCCACCAGTGAGAGGGAATAAAAAGGAAGCTGGAAAGCAGAGACCTGTGTCAGCTAGCCTGGGGTCCCCACACGGCCTGCCTAAAACAGGGAGACTAGAGACTGCACAGGCAGCCCTTCCTGTCATCCAACTCTGGGGACACAAAATCTAGGGGCATACAGCAGCCCAGTACCTTGAGTAAAAGGGCCCAG